GGACGGCGCTGGCTCTGGGCTTTCCGCCCACTATCCTTTTTCTAGAGCTGCAGCTTTGCCTGGCGCCGAGGACGCTGGCGCAGGGCTCATGCTTCTCGGAGGCGTTCCAGCCGAGCCGCAGCGTGATCCAAGGGTTGCGCAGCGGCACGAGGTTCGCACGCTGCATGACCTACTTCATCCTTGGCAAGCTGACGTCGACCCATCCAGGTGTGGATATGCGGCTGTGGATCGACGACCTGTCGCAGTATGTGGTTGGATCGCGTCAGCACATCAGGAAAGTTTTAGTGCAGGTTCTTAGGCAGACTAGTGACCTACTGGGCAGCGAGGGGCTTCAGGTGGCCAGCAAGAGCGTGGTCATCTGCTCCAAGCACCAGGACGCGCAGCACATTGTGGCCCGTCTTAGACGCCACGGCATTCAAGTCACGGCGGCGCTGCAGGCGAGCTTCCTCGGAGTCGACTCAGGAGCGGGGCGGCGCGCTCGGGCTACTCAGAGGAAGAGAGTGAGCAAGGCGACCACCATGCACGGTCGGATTGCTCGTTTCGCCAGGGCCAGTCGACGCTACAAGCCGACGATGAGACTGGAGGCGGCTGCGGCACAACCAGCAGGTCACTATGGCCACCAAGTTTACGGAGTCCACGGCTCGGCCATGCTGAACATGAGGAGGCGCCTGGGCCACGTCGCCAGCTCTGCTCGCAGGGGGAGGTGCCTGACGACGGTGCTGGACCTCAGGTATGGCGATCAGGACCCAGGTTATCGTCTCCCATGCGCTTGTCTGAAGATGTGGTTGCAGACCTGGTTCAGTGAGACACGTCTTCGAGCGGGTATTCAACTGGCGTGGCATGCCGTGGCCAAGCAGTTTCGAGAGATGGCCCCATCTTTGCGCAGCAGGAACGTTCGTGGCCCGATGTCAGCTGTCATCACGTACCTCTTGCAGTACGATTGGGACCCCGTGTCGGCCACCGAATGGGGTACGAAACCGAGGGGAGTTGAGGGTCGCGAAGCTTTCATTTTCGACGGAGACCTCGGGGCCGACACGGATTTCAGCGATCTCATCAACGAGTTCGAGCTCACCATCAAGAATAGGCAGTGGGAAGTTGCAGCGACTCACTTCTGTGGCGGTGGCCTCGAGTGTGGGGCTGATAACAGGTCCTATCGTAGATATACCCAGTCTTTAGAGCGTGCCCACAAGGGGCACCAGCTCGCGGAGCTTATGCTCTGCATCGCAGCGGGCGGCTCGTGGCCATTGCAGAGAGTTGCTGACGAGGTTGGAGGCATCCCGTGCACACTCTGCCCTAGATGTAAGCTTGCCCCCGAAACCTCTTTTCACAGATGCTGGGCCTGCCCAAAGAATGTAGGCCTGGCTTTCGAAGCTTCGGAGTCGTTGGTTGCACAAGCGTATAGTCAACATGAGTCCGAGCCCTGTTTTTGGCTCAGGGGCGTCTTGCCCTCGGATTGGACATCAGTTCCTGCTCCCGCCAGCGAACCCACATGGCTTGTCAGTGGGGTGGATGGGGCCCTTACAAGCTGGGTCGCTGGGCGTCGGTTCACTTTCCGAACCGTTGCTGCTTTTTGGCGACGCCAGCGGGGGGCCAGAGTCCAGAGGCGAGGGCCTCCGCAGGGTCGGCATCGGACTTGTGGCCATCTCCTCCTTTCACCCCTGTGTGATAGACGCCTCCCTTCGGGGGCCCCTTCCAGGTCGTCGCCAGACAGTTCCGAGAGGGGAGCTGTTAGGATCGATTGTCGCAGTAGAATTTAGTGCTGGAGCTAGGATTTACATTACAGACAACGAAGCAGTGATGATAGGATGGCACCAGCAGCGCTTTGATCGCCCTCAGGGCGAGAACTCGGATTTGTGGTCTAGGCTCGGGAAGTTACGCACCAGTCGGAGCTTTGATCCGATCACGGTTTTGCAGGTTTCATCCCACCAGTCGGCCAGCGAGCTGGCACAGTCGTCCCTCCTTTGGATGGCGATCGGGAATGAAGCTGCCGACGAGGTGGCGGGTTTGGCCGCGCAGGAGGCCCGTGTTCCTGCTGATTTCAGACACAAGGTCGCTCGCTCAGAGCAGATGGCTAGACTCGTTCGCCGCCGTCTTTTGCGGGCCAACCTTGAGGCGATCGTTGAGGAAAAGCGTTCTGGCCAGCGCGTGATGGAAAAGAAGTCCCGCTGCCCTCCCCCTTCTACTTCTGCTCTTGCCTTCTTCGCCGCCTCCCACTCGCTGTCCGAGGATGGAAAAAGCTGCCTGAGATGTCGTGGGAGCGCGTCTCAGGCGTCCTTGACAGAGTGGAGGCTGAGCCAGTGCTTTGAGCTAATTAAGCAGGATCAGTGTTTCTCTCGAGCGCCGAAGGGTCAGTGTGTGCATATAGGTGGACGTTGGACTCATCCAAGTCACAACCTATTGTATAGCCATAAGTTGAATCTTTGGTTTTGTAGTTCGTGTGGTTTCTACGGGAGCCAACAGATGCGGGGTTTAATATCCGAGTGTCTGTGTGCCCCTACGCTTCCCCCCGAGACGCGTGGTAAGCTCACGCCGACCAGGAGAAGTTATATTGACAGAATTCACAAAGGCCTATGGCCTAAGTGCTAAGCCTAATTCAACCTGAGCAGACGGCTCGGGTGGTGGTTGGGTTATGTTACTTCGCTTCGCGATCGGTCCTATCCTATCCTATCCTCCCCCTCCTCCTCCTCCTCCTTCTTCTCCTCCCCCTCCTCCTCTTCCTCCTCCCCCTCCTCCTGCTCCTCCTTCTCCTTCTCCTCCTCGCCCTCATCCTCATCCTCATCCTCATCCTCATCCTCATCCTCATCCTCATTTTCATCCTCTCCCCAATGCAGAGACATGTGTCCAGGGGGAAAGGGATCCTGGACCCTGGGGCGTCCCCGAGGACCAGTTCTTTATCCGGGGCTGTCTCCTGACGGCCCTGGGGCCCGTGGAGGGCCCAAGGCCCCCGAAAACGGTGAATCACTCCCAGGACCCGTTTCCCATCAGACCATTTTTCGTTCACGTTAATTAGGCTCGTCGTCTTCTTCGCCAGCTTCAGGAAAGAACGGTGCTCGAGGTACGTTTTTTAAAACATGAACTGTGCATGGTTCACGGCCATTTCGCCCTTGGCCAACATGCGTCAGGACCTCATAGTTGAAGTGCCGACTCATCCTCCTTCCTCTCCTATCGTCTTCTGCTTCGTCATCGCCCTCATCTCAGCATAACCCAAGCACTCTGATACTAAGTGCACGTCGGCCCCGCAGGACCGAAACGCGCGCTCAGCAATCACACCGTGCACGCGCGGCGGCGGGCGCTTTCTGGCCATGCCGTTCTGGCAACGACATGCCGTAACATGCTTGGTCCATGCTTTCGGCTCGCAGCGTGCGGCACAGCATCAGCATGGCCATCGGCGTCTGCGCGCACGCACGGCTCCGCGCGTACCCACGCCCGCGCCCGCGCTCACGCGCGTGTGTCCACCGCCGTGTCCTCGGGGCCCCCCTGCTACCACTCGGGGGGCCCAGCGTCCGAAGAGGGATGGCGAGGGAGGAGAGGCCACCACCCCATCCCACATCCACGAGGCCCATCGGAGGGGGAAAAGGAGGAGGTATGGCGAGGGAGGGAGAGGCCCGCTCTTGCCCCTACGGCGCAGTTGACGTAGACGTGGCATCTTGCCTGCAGCATCGTATCTGCATCGGCGGCGAGCACGAGGGGGGGGGAATGAGGAGGAGCGGGCCTTCTCAGAAGGCTCGGATTCCCCCCAGCTTTCTGAGAAGTTTTCTGAGCTTTCTCCGAAGACAGAGAATTTCCCAGAAGGCGCGAGGGCTTTAAGAAGCCCCGCCGCGTTCTGAAAGGGCCTTGTCCATCTCACTTCACCGCCTCGCTCGCCGCCGAATGTGACCATACGACCACACTTCGGGTGATAAGGAGGTTGGGAAGGGGAGAGCGAACCACCTGCTGGCAACTGCGATCGGTGTGGTGATGACGATTCTGGTAGCGCGCCCTCGAGTGGGCGACGACGCGTGATGACGATGTTGTGCCGCGATGTGATGTCACTATCAACCCCTCTATCGATCTCAGCCGATCGATCTCACTATCGACCTCACGGCCAGTCTTAGTATCGATGGATCCAGCGACCGATCCCATTATCGATCTCACACTGAGTGGCGCTGAGTGCGATCGGGACATCATCGGGATACCATCGAGCCAAATCAGTGCCATCGCCACGGCGCTGTGATGGATGCTTGCTGACTGTGGTGGTTGAGTGTTGATGGCGATGTGATGGCTTTTCTGCACTCGCACCATCGCGGAACACCACGAGACGCCACGGGACACCACGGGACACCGCGAGGCACCATCGGGACACCACGGCGGGACACCGCATGACGCCATCGGGACACCGCGGGACACCACGGCGGGACACCCCCAGCCACCGCGCGCCCACCGCTGTCTCGCGCCCACGCAGCTTCGCCTCGCCCGCATGCGCGACACGAACGCGACACCGGAACCGATCTCTCTGTGGGGGGCTCTCCGTTCCATTGCGATCTCGCCCCCCAACCTCCAAGCACCCTCCTTCATCGAGCGCGTTCCACTACTCGCAAAGCGCCTACTCGCAGACGTCCGAAAAACACATACCTGCTTCGATGCAGTGAATCGCAGATCCCGCGCGGCGGATCCAGGCCATTTGCGAGCAGGAACTCTGCGAGTAGTGGAACGCGCTTGTCTACTCCTTCTGTGTCCCATCCTCCTCCTCTGCATCCTCCTCTCCTCCTCCTCGGACCTCCCCGCATCCGAATACTCTCCTCCTCCTCCTCCTCCTCCTCCTCCTCCTTCGCCTCCTCCTCCGCCTCCTCCTCCGCCTCCTCCTCCGCCTCCTCCTCCGCCTCCTCCTCCGCCTCCTCTGCATCCTCCTCCTCCTCTGCATCCGCCTCCTCCTCCTCCTCTTCCTCCTCCTCCTCCTTCTCCTCCTCCTCTTCCTGCGTCCCACCCCTCCTCCTCTGCATGTCCTCCCTCCCCTTCCGCAGGCGCTCGCCGCCTCGCCCGCCGCGGCCGTGCTGCGGGCCGCGCGGGAGCTGCTCGGCGACGGGGTCCAGCTGGAGAGCACCAGGGACCGCGGCGCCCCCCCCTCGCGCGGTCTGGCCTCCCCAGTTGCGAGTCGAAGGGCGCCCTCGGGGGCGCGCCCTCGGGAGTGCGCCCTCGGGGGGGCACGGTGGAGGCGCCCTCGAGAATGGAATGGGGCGCCCTCGAGAGTGGGGCGCGCCCTCGAGGGCGCCCTTGAAGAGTGGGGCGCCCTCGAGGGCGCCCTCCCATGGCGCGGTCTGGCTTCCTCCGTGCGCGTCGAAGGGCATCACAGTCGGTGATCGACGCTCGATTCATACCCGTGCTGCTGCTTCCACTCTGGCCGCCGGGGGGGGGGTCAGGGCATGTTGAGCGACTTGGTCTTCACAGGTCAGGTTTTTGTTCATGCCCCCACTCCGCCCCGCCGTAGAGTTCCTGGCGTGAGCGCGGGTACGGATAAGATCACCCACTGAACGAGGGTGCCCTCGAGGGCACGAAGTTATTCGTGCTTCGCGCAGTGCAGCTCGGCTCCGATGCTTCCTCGCCCTCCTCGTCTCCCCTGGGGGGGGGCGGCGCAGGAGCGCGAAGTCGTCTCCCCCGGGGGGGGGGGCGGCGCGGGAGCGCGAAGTCCTTCGCGCCTCCTCGCGCTTCGCGCGCGGCGCGAGGCGCGAGGCCAGGCGCCCCTGCTTCTCTGCGCACTGCCGCCGCCGCCGCAACCCAGGCAGCCCGCCGCTCCACCTGTTTACGCTTCGCGAGCCCCCACCAGCCCATTCGTGAGCCCTGCCCCTGAGAGCTGACGGGAAAAGGGACGCAGAGAAACCTGTAGTGAAACAGAGCGGGCAACTAGGGTGAACGAGAGAGATTTCAGGGAGCAAAGGGTCGGCCTTGGAGGGCCTCTTCGGGCCATCCCCAGGGCCCGCAAAGGAGCGAGGCGAGCAGGAGGAGGCAGACGACGACGACGACCACGACCACGACGATGAGGAGGAGTAGGAACATGAAGGGACAGACGATGGGGCATCTTGGGGCCCTCTTGGGGCTCTTTGAGAGGTCTTGGTGTCCTCTTGGGGCTGTTTTTGGGGCGCCTTGGAGCCCTCATAGGGGCCTTGGGGCTCTCTTGGGGCTTTCTTGGGGCCCTCTTGGGAGCTATGGAGCGTCTCCTGGGGCCATCTTGGATACCATTCGTCAGAGGAGGGGGGGGTCCTCAATTTCCCTCCCCCCTCTGGGGCCATCGAAATAGCCTCTTAGGGCGCTCTTGGGGCCCTCTTGGGTCGTTCTTGGGCGCTCGTGGGGTAGTCTTGGCAGCCTCTTGGGTCCTTCTTGGATTTCTCTTGGACCATCTTAGCACCATCTTGGGGCCTCAAACGTGCATCGGAAGCGAGAAGGCGAAAAGGCAAACATAAGTGATTTTCCTTAGGTAGTGGAAGGATTTGGCTTCTTGGGGAGGTCCTGAGGGGTCTCCAGAAGCACTTGGATCCGTCTTATAATCTTCTTGGGGCCTCTTGGAGGCATGCTGTTAGCTATCTTGAGCCATGTTGGGCTATCTTGAGCGATCTTAGAGGCCATCTTGTGCTCCCTGAAGCCCTCTTGGAGCCATCTTGGGCCATCTAGGACCTTCTGACACCTCGCGCCCACGTCCAGGGGAGGGGGTAGGGCTACTGGGGGCCAATCCGCCGCCGCCGCCGCCTCCGCCGCCGCCGCCGCCGCCGCCGCTGCCGCTGCCGCCGCCGCCGCCGCCGCCGCTGCCCGCCGCCGCCGCCGCCGCCGCCGCGCAGCCGCCGCCGCCGCCGTCGCCGCCGCATCCGCCGCCGCCGCCGCCTGCCGCCGCCGCCGCCGCCGCCGCCGCCGCCGCCCCCTGCCAAACCGCCGCCGCCGCCGCAGCCGCTGCCGCTGCGCCGCCGCAGCCGCCGCCGCTGCCGCCGCCGCAGCCGCCGCCGCCGCCGCCGCCCCCGCCGCGCCGCCCCGCCGCCGCCGCCGCCCGCAGCCGCCGCCACCGCCGCAGCCGCCGCCGCAGCCGCCGCCGCCAAGTGTACTTTGTATTTTTTTGACAGGGATGGTGGGGGGGGGGGCGCATCGGGTTGGCTGCGCAGGTTCCGAATTTGGAGGCAGTTTTTTATTATTTTTTTTTGTTTTGTTTTTGTTTTTTGTTAAGATATATATATATATATTTATATATATATATATATATTAAAAAAGTGATGGTGGAAGGGGGGTTGTCATGGACCCTGGTTGGCCCCCAGTCACCTGGGGAAAGGGGTGTTTATTCATAGGGAACAGTGATCAAGCTACCCACCCGCCTGCAAGCCGTCTAGCTCACTCCCACCGCCCTCCCTACACATAAGTAACACCTGAGCCTGAACATGTTCAGCGGTCGTCTTTGGATGGACAGCTACTGGGAATAAGCGCCGACCCCAGGCGCGCGACGCTTGGGTGAGGTGCGCCACGCGGGCCAGGGGCGCCGCGCGCGCCAGGCACCCCTGGGGCCCGAGCGTGGCAGGCACGCGGCGCGCTTGCGCACGTAACAGCACACATTGGGAAACATGTCGGCCGCCGCCATCCTTGTCGAACGCCGATGCCCATCATTGTGTCTGGTGGGCCTGCGCACGGCAGGTCACGCGCCACCAACCCCGCCGTCCTTGTCAAAAACCACTTCATTGTGATCGCGGGGTGGCCGCGCACGATCCAGATTTAGCCGCGAGGTGCATGTTGTAGGTTTTTATGCCACGGATTGTAGCCTTGCGCACATGCTGCCACCCCCGCCGTTTTATTCAAACACAATACACAAGTCCTCGCGGGCCTCACGAACATGACCCGAGATCTTACCCCAAAGTATACGTTGCATGTTTTTTGGCAGGGATGGTGTGTGTGTGTGTGTGTGTGTGTGTGTGTGTGTGTGTGTGTGTGTGTGTGTGTGTGTGTGTGGGGGGGCGCATCGGGTTGGCCGCGCATGCTCCAAATGTGGAGGCAGAGTGCGTTTTGTATTGTTTTTTTTGTCAGGGATGGTGGGGGGCGGGTCGGCACGGTGTCGGCATGGTGCTTGGTTGGCCCTCGGTTGCCTGGGGGAGGGGGTGTATATGGTCGAGGGTTTGTGCCCCCCCCCCAATGCTAATGCCATCGGTCCCCCCCCCCCCGCGCGATGCCCCCCCCCCCCCTGGGGGCGTGGGCGTGGCGTGGTGGCTCCCCCCCCGTGGATGTGGTGTGGGTGTGGTGTGTTGCTGCGGGTGTGTGCGGGGTGACGCTATGGTCCTCCTCCCCCCCTCCCTCCCCCTCTGTGGGTGCAGTGTGGGTGCGGCGTGTGGCTGGGGTTGGCGTCATGTTGACAGCTTTGGTGCTCGACGTCGTCGCCGCCGCCCCTGGTGGTGCCGTCGACGCCGTCGTTGTCGTCGTCGTCGTCGTTGTCGTCGTCGTTGTCGTCGTCGTTGTCGTCGGTGTCGTCGCCGTCGTCGTCGCCGTCGTCGTCGTCGTCGTCGTCGTCGTCGTCGTCGCTGCCGTCGTCGTCGTCCTCCTCCTCCTCGTCCTCCTCCTCGTCCTGCTCCCGCTCCTTCTCCTCCTCCTCCTCTTCCTCCTCCTCCTCCTCCTCCTTCTCCTCCTCCTCCTCCTCCTCCTCCTCCTCCTCCGCCTCCTCCTCCTCCCCCTCCTCCCCCCTCCCATCCCATCTGGGGGGGGCGGGCCCGAGGACCCTGGGATCCATCCCATCTGGGGTGGGGGGGGAGCCCGAGGACCCTGAGCCCGCGATCATATATAACCCCTCCTCGAAGGGAAAGAAGGGGTTGTGGAGGAAGGAAGACACTGTTAGACCACCTGTCGCCCAGAGGGCTGGTGGGATTTTTTCGATGCGTTGGCCCATGGGGTCCTGACCACTTCCCTAGAGTTGTTTTTGACGTTCCCGAGGCCCGGCGAGGATCCCCGGAGGCCCAGTTCAGTTCAGAAGCCTTGCATCTGGACGGCGCGCGAGCAGGGTGAGACAGAGAGCAGCCAAATTGCTCGTTAGAGAGGCGTGCTGTATTGGCAATGGATGCGCGTATTAAACGCAGGGGGAGGAGGAGGAGGAGGAGGAGGAGGAGGAGGAGGAGGAGGAGGAGGAGGAGGAGGAGAAGGAGGAGGAGGAGAAGGAATAGGAGGCGGAGGAGGAGGAGGAGGAGGAGGAGGAGGAGACAGGACGAGGCCCCAGAGGGCCCAGGACTGGTACGATCCCGCCGCCCAAACTTTTTTGGGGGGCACGTCGGATCTCTGGGAAGGACTCCTCGGGGCGGCGCGACGCCCGCCGCCGAGCCCGGCGGGCGCCTCGCGCGCCCGCCCCGCCGCTCCTCGCTCCTCGAGGTGCCGTGCTGCAGAGGAGAGCACCCGCGTGGGGCGCCGTGCCCGGAGGCCGACCCCCCCCCCTCGGGGCACGGCCTCCGCCCCCCCCTGCGGAGGGGCAGTGCCCGTCCCAGACCCCCTCGGGCCATGAAAGACTCCTCCTCCTCCTCCTCCTCCTCCTCCTCCTCCTCCTCCTCCTCCACCCAAGACATGAGCGCGTCGTACAAAAATCAGGACGGAGGGTTTTTGCTAGTTTTCGGCCTCAGGGGGCCCTCGCCGGGCCTCGGGACCGTCAAAGAACGACTCAGGATGAAAAGCCAGTCCCAGGGAAAGGGTCGTGACTTCCAGGGACGCCGTCCTGAAAAAATCAGGACGTCGCATGTCTGGGTCCGCCTCCGCCTCCTCCTCCTCCTGTTCCTGTTCCTCCTCCTCCTCCTCCTCCTCCTCCTCCGCCCTCGAGCCTCGAGCCTCGGAGCCTCGGAGGCTCCCCAGGCGCCAGAAGCTGTCCAGGCCGAGACCCCCTCGGGTTATGAAACATTCACGACGCAAGGTTTTTCGCTATTTTCCGCCTTGGGGGGCCCTTGCCGGGCGTCGCCAGGCCGCGGGACCGTCGCTTGCAAGACGGTCCAGGATGAAACACCGGCCCCGGGGAATGGGTCCAGACCTCCTGGGGGGCCGCGTCATGGAAAACGTCAGGATGTCTCGGGGGTCTGGGTTGGCCGTGCCCCGAGGCCGACGCCGCACGGAGCCGTATTCGCTCTCTCGCCCTCCCCAGGGGTCCGACGCTCCCCCCCAAAAATCGGAGCGGCGGGAGTCGGGCAGTTTTCGGCCTCCAGGGCCCTCGCAGGGCTGCGCCTCTGCCGGGCACGGGCGGTCAGGAGTGGCTCGGGATGACAGAGCGGCCGGTCCCCGGGGAAGGGGTCCAGAACTCTGGGGAGCCACGTGGAGAAAGAACACCGCGTGGTATGGTCTCGGCGGCGCGCGAGGGGGGGAAACGAGAAGGAGGAGGCCCTCTCAGAAGGCGGCGGGGCTTCTCAGAAGCCCGCTGGCCTTCGGAGAAGATTTTTGCGTCTCCGGGGAAGCCTCAGGACAGTTCTCAGCAGGCTGGGGGACTTTTCCGAGCCTTCTGAGAAGGTCCGCCCCTTCTCACTTCCCCCCCGGGCTCGCCGCCGATCTTCTGGGGGCGACGAGGATGGCGGGAGGATTTGGGAACGGGAGATCCGAACCAGCCCGAGACGGATGGCTTTCCCCAGCGGTGGTCAGGCTTCCCCCCCTCGAGGAATCCCCAACCGAGCCTGGGTCGCCCGCTTCCCCTGGTCTCAGGGCGAGGGGAGAGCCTGTCATCGCCGAGCAGCAACGGCACAGACATCAACCTGTGCCTGTCCAGGTCCGCGCGGACCGGCAGCAGTTTGTGCTTATGCAGTTGTTTGTTCCCCTTCGTCGGGAGTTGCTTGGCCCAGTTTGAGGCCTTTGCTTCCCTCCCTTTCCTTCCTCCTGCTCCCTGCCTGCTGTCTCCGCCTGGCCCCTCTTCCGCCTGCCCGCCCGCCCCGCCGGCCCTGTCCACCCGCCTGCGCGTTCGTCTTCGTCTGCCTGCTTCTCCCCTTCTCGTCCCCTTCCGCCAGGCAGCACAGCCTGCCCGGGACCAGCGGGGCGGCGTGTGTAGGGCTTCAGCCGACGGCTGGCGATTGTAGCACTGCCACGCCCAGGAACGGCAGCTCTCTCAGCAGACTGCCTGCTTGAGGCCTTCCCCCGGGCGGACCTCGGGACCCCCCATGGGGGCCTCCAGAGGCCCATCGGATCTGGACTCTCGTGGCCCGTTGGCGCGCTGCCTGCCTCTCAGGGGGCGCTCGTGCCTCGGCTGCGCTGCGGGTCGACTCTGATGCTCGGGGCGCTCCCTGTCCCAATGGGATCGTTCTCTTGCTCATTGTTTTGCCGATCTGCGCGGGCCCTCGCACCCTCCCCCTCCCCACTTCACGGAGTCGATCTGTAGGCTGTTTTTGGCGGCTGTTTCGAGCAGGCGGGGTCTCCCTCCCCCAGAGGCCGCACGGTTCCAGACGGCCGCACTGAGCAGAGGTCCGGAGCCATCCCCGCCCCTTCCCTCTCCCCTTCCGCCCACTGTCGAAACGCCGACCTTCTCCCTTTCCCAACCTCGCTCGGGGGTGGCCAGAACCCCCCCAATCTGACACGTCGATAAGTGAATTGTCCGCTTTCGGTTCTCGAGAGGGCGCCGCGGCCGTCATTTTCCAGGCTTGCGCCCATCAGGTTTGGGCCCGAGGTCGTCTCTTTTAAACCACGCTCCACTCAAGGGGTTCTGTCCATCCCCGAAGGCTGGCTGCTTCGGGGGGCCACGGCCTCATCCACCCGGCCTCGGCCAGGCCCAGGCGGCTGTCCGCAGCGGCGCGCTTTTCTCCTCTCCCTCCCCCCTCCCTCTCCAGCGCCGGCCTCCAGCGCTCCCCCCCTCCCGCACTCGTGCCCCCGACTCGTTCCTCCCCCGTGCTGCGAGGCGACGCGCGCCTCCCCGCATGCCTCGCCCTCTTCCGCGGGGCTGCTCTCTTCCCTTCCGGGCCGCACCGCCACGGCCGCCGGTGCCCCGGCGCGGGCCGCACCCCCGCAGCCGCCAGGCCTGGGCCCGAGGCTGTCTTCCTGGCCACGCGCAGAAGGGGGTATGGGGGAGGGGGGAAGGCTTCTTAGAAGCACCCCTGCTTCTTAGAAGGCGCGGGCCTTCCCTATAGATATAAGGCCGGCGCCTTCTAAGAAGCAGCCTCATTCTAAGAAGCTTTCCCCCCTCCCCCATACCCCCTTGTGCACGCCGCCAAGAAAGGGGGCTTCCGTCCATCCCCAGCCTCGCGTCAGTCCTCGTGGCCCTGGCGCTGCCCGACGTTCGGGGCGCTCCTGCCGCGGCTGCGCTGCCGGTGGCCCCGAGGCTCTGCCACGAGAAGGCGTACACGCGACAGGCTTTACGTCGGGCCTGTCCCTCTACAGGGGGAATATTCAAAACTAGTTATAGTCTGGGGACGATGTTTCTACTATGTTTGACTATTCAGGGGTATTGTTTGTTCCCGGAAAGGGTATAGGCCCAGGGTTCTCTTTTCCTATGTAAACATGTCCCCGGTGCCCAACTTGAAGGAGGCTGGCGGATTCTTTCCCTGATAAATATCGAGGTCGAAGGAGGCCGGCGGATTAACATTTGAGGATGTCTCAGGCGAAACGCTTGTTTTTGAAATCCCGATCGATAAATCACAGGGTGCGGGACACCTCAGCACGACCACACCCCCAGCATGACCACACCCCAGCACGACCACGCCCAGCACGACCACGCCCCAGCACGACCACACCCCAGCACGACCACACCCCAGCACGACCACACCCCAGCACGACCACACCCCAGCACGACCACACCCCAGCACCAGCACGACCACACCCCAGCACGACCCGATCGATAAATCACAGGGTGCGGACCACCCCAGCACGACCACACCCCAGCACGACCCCAGCACGACCACGCACGACCACGCACGACCACACCCCAGCACGACCACACCCCAGCACGACCACACCCCAGCACGACCACACCCCAGCACGACCACACCCCAGCACCCAGCACGACCACACACCACCACCCCAGCACGACCACCCGACCAGCACGACCACACCCCAGCACGACCACACCCCAGCACGACCCCACCCCAGCACCACACCCCAGCACGACCACACCCCAGCACGACCACACCCCAGCACGACCACACCCCAGCACGACCACCACAGCACGACCACGCACGACCACGCCCCAGCACGACCACGCCCCAGCACGACCACGCCCCAGCACGACCACGCCCCAGCACGACCACCCCCCAGCACGACCACCCCCAGCACGACCACCCCCCAGCACGACCACCCCCCAGCACGACCACACCCCAGCACGACCACTCCCCAGCACGACCACACCGCCTTGGTTGAGTGGTTGCCTGTCGTCGTGGAATGTTTCGTGGGGTGTCTCGTGGAATGTTTCGCGGGGTGTCTCGTGGAATGTTTCGTGAGGTGTCTCGTGGAATGTTTCGTGAGGTGTCTCGTGGGATGTTTCGTGAAGTGTCTCGTGGGATGTTTCGTGAGGTGTTGCCCAGTTGGGTATCGTGAGAACGTGTCCATGCTCCACATGTCTATATCCCTTTCCGGGTTCGTGGGTCCATCATGTTCTTTTTACTTTTCGTCCAGAATTCTCCTGTAGAGGGACACGCCCAACCTAAGACAAGCTTTGCGCGGTACCTTCAGAAGGGGTGGCGGTGCATCAAGTCGTTGGCTCTCGGTAGCGATTTATACGCCGCGGGCCCACGAACAATCCATGGAAGGGTGTCAGTGCATTTTTTTTGTGGCGGAGATGCTCAGGGCGCTCCCTCTCCCAAATCACCCTGCCGCACCTGATGCCGAGCTTTCAAGGCACGCGTTCGTTCCTGCAGGTGCTGATCAGGCTGATGCTGTAGATTACTCACGCTCGACGCTCGACACGAACACCCTTAGCGACCGCAGAGGAAATCATGGAGCAGGAACGGAAGAAGGCAGGGGGCGATATGCGGAGAAGAAGGAAATGGATGAATGTGTGTGGCCTTTCCGCAGAACGCTGCCTGCTGTATCCGCATTCCTGGACCTGAGCTTCAACGTCTTGGCGTCAAGAAGGATGGGGGGAGCGCATCGTGTCTTCGAGGTCTCAAGTTCGCAGTTCTCTGAGGCAAGAGCAATGCGTTCTCGTCGCTGGCATTCATTATGAGCCCCGTTCGCGTCCTGTTACTCACCTTGCAGAGTTCATATTGTCTCGCTCATACCAGTTGGTATTCTTTCCTTACAGTGCAGGCCCATGCCAAGACACATCCTGCTTGCCTCCAGGGTGCCCTGTGCTTCTTGGGTTTTGATAGTTTTGTCACGGAGATCGCGACGTTCCCACACCGAAAATCAATGGACGCCCTGGGGTCTCAGGGTTGGCTCTCTTGTGAGAGGCTTCTTGTAGAGGGGCCCCTACTGTATCGCCACACGGGCACCTCAGTGTCCGTCCGTTTTTTGGTGCCCCAGCGCGCCAATATCGACAGCAAGAGCTTCTTCTCCCTTGCCCTCCTCTCCTGGCGTGTTGCGTACCTCGTGCGGCCTGCCCGTGTCATCCGTCCACAGAGCTTCGGGGGTGGCCAGAACCCCCCCACCCTGACACGTCGATAAGTGAATTGTCCGCTTTCGGTTTTCGAGAGGGCGCCGCGGCCGTCATTTTCCAGGCTTGCGCCCATCAGGTTTGGGCCCGAGGTCGTCTCTTTTAAACCACGCTTCACTCAAGGGGGTTCTGTCCATCCCCGAAGGCTGGCTGCTTCGGGAGGCCACGGCCTCATCCACTCGGCCTCGGCTGCGGGGCTGCTCTCTTCCTCTTTGGGCCGCACCCTCACGGCCCCGGGGTCCCGGCACGGGCCTCCAAGTGTGAAGTCGGGCATGTCCCTCTACAGGAGGAAGATTCCCAAATAGTCAAACATAGTCTGGGGACGATCATGCCAATTTTTATCCGTAAGCGCTTCGCCCCATGCCGCCGGCCTCCTGTCTCGGACAATGGGAGATGCAAAAGCTAAATCATGAGGTCTGGGCGCCGCCGTGAAGCAGTGTCGGGACCTGTTTGTCCCTGACCCTACGGATTTGCATCATGGGTGCCACTGGATTTCAGAAATGTGGCAAATCCCCGGTGTTTTTGGACCCTGACCCTACAGATCTGCGTGAGGGGTGCCGCCGAATTTCAGAAATGTGGTAAATCCCTTGTGTTTTTGGGCCCTGACCCTGCCGATCTGCGTGAGGGGTGCCGCCGAATGTCAGAAATGTGGCAAATCCCTTGTGTTTTTGAACCCTGACCCTGCCGATCTGCATGATGGGTGCCACCGAGTTTCAAACATGTGGCAAATCCCCGGTGTTTTTGGACCCTGACCCTGCCGATCTGCGTGAGGAGTGCCACCGAATTTCAGAAATGTGGCAAATCCCTTGTGTTTTTGGATCCTGACCCTAAGGATCTACGTGAGGGGTGCCACCGAATTTCAGAAATGTTGCAAATCCCCATGTGTTTTGGAACCCTGACCCCGCCGATTTGCTTGAGGGGTGCTAGCAAATTTCAGAAATGTGGCAAATCCCTTGTGTTTTTTGGACCCTGACCCTGCCGATCTGCGTGAGGGGTGCCACTGAATTCAGAAATGTGGCAAATCCCGTGTGTTTTTTGACCCTGACCCCGCCGATCTGCGTGATGGGTGTAAATTTTGACCCACCTCAGTAATTCAGACAACACGCTCAGGGCGTGGCCTCCCCCCCTCGCGCGGTCCATCAGCAAGGAACAGTAAGCAGCAAGAAGTCAACAAGGAACAGCAAGCAGCAAGAAGCAGGACTGTAACAGTGGAAGCTGGAAGCTGCAACTGGTACAGGAAACTGCAAAGCTTCGGCCAACAGCCTGGTGGCCCCACAAGGGGGCCGGCGGATTTGAAAAATTGAGCTTCTGTTAACAGTATTTAACAACTATGCTTGATTATCAGTGTTTTTTTTTATTTTTTGTTTCCAGAGTTCTTCTGGGCATTATTTTTGATTTTTGTTTTGGACATGCCCGACCTAACCCAAGGGCCCGACGAGGAGGAACTTGTTTCTCAACGCGCCGGGACCTGAGAGGGCTCTCTGGCTCTCGTGCGAGGCTGCTCTCCCCCGAACCCCGCGCGCCGCCCGAAAAAAGCCTGGCCGCACATAAATCACGGGGAGAGCCCCGTGATGCACCCCACGGGGGCTCTTCGGACGCAACCCCCTATCGTACATCCCAGGGTTCAGGGGAACGAGCAAAGACATAAACATACAAACTCGGAGGTCCGCGCGGATCTCTCGGATCCGCGCTAGGGCCCCCCTGGCGGCGCCTCCGGCGCCGACCCTGGCGCGATCCGCGCGCCAGGGAGCGGTTTCCAGCGCGGATCCGAGAAGTCCGCGCGGACCTCCGAGTTTTTATCTTTATGCCACTCTTCGTTCCCCTCATCGTATATCCCATTGGCCCCAACATGTCTGGCCCACTCGAAACCCCCCCCCGAAGCCGAGGCGAGGCATGAGCCGAGGGGGGCCGGGGCGTGCGGGGAGGGGAGGCAGGGAGACTGGGCACCGGAGGCAGAGCGGCGAGGCGGGGAGGGCCGCGGGGGGTACCAGTCGACCCCTGCGGTCGGACCTGGGGCAGCAGGTGACCGTGTTCTCATTTCATTGTTTTGCCGATCGGCGCGGGCGCCCCCCCTCACCCCCCTCCCGTGGAGTAGATCTTGGCTGTGTTCTGGCGCCTGTTTCGAGCGTGTGGAGTCTCCCCCAGAGGCGGCACTCTTGCGAACAGTCGCACTGAGCAGAGGTCTGGTGCCAGACCCCCCCTCTCCCCCCTCTTGCCGCCCAATGTCGAAACGCCGAGTAAAAAATGACGCTCACAAGAACACCCTTCAAGAGCATGAGACCCTCCGCCGTCTCGAACTGAAGTAGAGGAAGAAAAACCGCCATAAACCGAATCTCTTCGCGCTCCGCGCGGATTTCTTGGATCCGCGTTGGACTTCCCTCCCTGGCGCGCGGAGCGCGCCGGGGGCGGCGCTGGAGGCGCCACTGGGGGGTCCCAGCGCGGATCCAAGAAATCCGCGCGGATCGCCAAGCCCATCCTTCAGCCCATCCTTGACCACTTTCCCTTCAGCCCATCCTTGGCCACTTTCGCTGGCCGCGCCCCGCCCACAGAGTGTCGACATGGCCTTCCAGGGCCTTTGCATCCTTGTCGTGCTCCCTTGTTGTGCGGGTTGACTGTATGGGGAAGGGGGGGAGGTTTCTTAGGAGCGCCCCTGCTTCTCAGAAAGGCGCCGGCCTAATCTGCAGATGCAGGGCCGGCTGGCATCCTCGTAGGGAGCATATGTTGCTAAGAGTCCTTCCCCTCCTCCCCCTCCTCCTTCTTCTCCTTCTCATCATTCCCTCGTCCTCCTCCTCCTCCTCCTCCTCCTGGATAAGAATGCGCGCCACATGGCACGGCACTGCGAGCGCCCGTCGGAGGCCGCGCCGCAGGCCGCCAATTAGCTCTCGGAGGTGGCGTCGTCTTCGTCGCTCGTCGGCGTCGTCGTCAGTGACTTCTCCGGGCTGTGCTGACACCAGGAGAATCCAGGATAATCTTTTCGACGGCAACTCACGTTGGTGTCGTTTCTGCATGGTCTTTGGGGCCTTCCCTCGCGAAGCGTGGAGAGTCGAGCCAGAACTGGCCGAGTCGAACCGAGGTCTGAGTTCCTCCTTCTCTGCATGCCTGTTTTGTATAGAAGCGGGTTCCTCGCCAATCTTCCGCCGCCGCCGCCGCCCCTTCCCCTCCTTCCCTTCCCCCTCCTCCGCTTCCTGCCCTCTCTGACTTGTCCCCCTCAGGTGGACCGGAGGAGGGGGACGGACAAAATCACGACGAAGTTTTTTCGCCATTCTCGTCCCCTGGAGGCCCGTACCAGGCGTCGTGAGAATCCAGTCCCAGGGACTGGGTCCAGACCTACGGGGGGTCGATGTTCTGAACAAATCATCCTGGCGCAGTTTTGAGTACCGAGTTGTGCGTACCGCTCTCGGTGGAACCCCCTATGGGGCCACGATCCTCGTGAGGGGTATGCCGAAGTGGGCGCGGGGACGCATGCAAACCCTGCCGCTGGGGCCTTCGGTGGAGCTCCTCATGGGGCCACGATCCTCGTGAGGGGTGTGGAGAAATCAGCGGGGGGACATATGCAAACACTGTCGCTGAAGCCTTCGGTGTAGCACCCTATGAGCCTATGGGGCCACGATCCTCGGGAGGGGTGTGCCGACATGCGCGGGGGGACGCATGCAAACCCTGCCGCTGAGGCCTTCGGTGGAGCTCCCTGCGGGGCCATGTTCCTCTTGAGGGGTGTGCAGAAATCAGCGGGGGGACGTATGCAAACCCTGCCGCTGAGGCCTTCGGTGGAGCCCCCTATGGGGTCGCGATCCTCGTGAGGGGTGTGGAGAAATCAGCGGGGGAGCGCATGCAAACCCTGCCGCTGGGGCCTTCCGCTGGAACCCCCTCTATGGGACCACGATCCTCGGGAGGGGTCGAACTGGGCGGGGGGACGCATGCAAACCCTGCCGCTGAGGCCTTTGGTGGAGCTCCCTGCGGGGCCACGTTCCTCGTGAGGGGTGTGCCGAAATGGGCGGGGGGACGCCTGCAAACCCTGCCGCAGGGGCCTTTGGTGGAGCTCTTCTATGGGGCCGCGATCCTCGTGAGGCGGGGGGACGCATGCAAACCCTGCCGCTGGGGCATTCGGTGGAGCACCCTCTGGGGCCACGATCCTCGTGAGGGGTGTGCCGAAATGGGCGGGGGGACGCATGCAAACCCTGCCGCTGAGGCCTTCGGTGGAGCTCCCTATGGGGCCTCGTGAGGGGTGTGCCGCTATCGGGGGGGGGGACGCATGCAAACCCTGCCGCTGGGGCCTTCGGTGGAGCTCCGGACTTACGCAGGACGAGCGATTTTCCTCTTGAGGTGAAAATGGCGATGAGGAGTGCGCGAGACAACATCGGCGCCGCCGAACGGACGGCGTCTGGACGAGCTGCGTGCAGCAACCGGGAGGAGAGATACGTATCCATGTTGAGGGGGACCCGCGCTCGCGGAAAGTTGATGGGGCAGGGCCCACCATGGGAAG